GCCTCTCTCATCTTTTTAAGTGGGAGAACTTGCACAATTGGTGGCTGACTAAATACTTTTTTGCCCCACTGTAGGTAGGTAGGTAGGTAGATAGATAGATAGATAGATAGATAGATAGATAGATAGAGATTGACAGATAGAGGCAGACAGATAATAGTGGAAGGGATCAAGAACAAATATGATTTTAATTTACAGTTAAAAGAAAGATTAGAATAAAGCTGGTGTCTTATATCTATAAGTTATAGTTTGACACATCTGAAAGGGACCCACTAAGCAAAAGTTGACCAGCATTGATTTCTTTGCATAATTTATTGATGTTTAATCCCAGAGGGGAGCAGAGCCAAAGGCAGAATTAGACTGCTTGCTCTCTCTATATGGCAAAGAAAGCCAATTTAGGCTCATTGGCTGAGTGCTGAGATCTGAGTTCTTGTCCTCATTTAAGCATGTAAGTAGCTAGATGACCTTGGACCAGTCACTCCCTCTCAGCCCTTGGAAGAAGGCAGTGGCAAGTTACTTCTGAAAATGCTGCCTAGAAAACTCCATGGGACTTGTAGTCACCCCAAGTCAAATTTGACTTGAAGGCAAAAAAAAGAAAAAAGAAAAAAAAAGCAGGGGGGAGGAACCTTGGTAGACCTTCTGATGGAGAACTAGCTTACAAAAACCTTTCATTCAGTGACCTTCATGCTTGTGAATCTTGAAAGATTTTAAATGATATTTTTTAAAAAATCTCTCTCATTTGGCCAATATCCTAATTTAGAACTACTGGCACCAGAAATACCCACAAATTAATGCTGGGGTGAAAATATTAAGCTATAATCAGAGAGACTCATCTTCCCCCATTCATGAAGCTAAATGAGTATCCCTCAGCCACTTTTTCTCTCTTTGCATGTATGGAGGGAAAATGGGTGCAAGGGGAAGGAATCATCCATGTGATATTGAGCTCCTGGGAAGAAAGTCGATAGTTGAAGAAATTCCTATAAACACGTTTTCTGTATAGACATTCCTGTGCATTTCAGTCCTATATTTGTATTGGAAGCTTGAATTAGTAGGCTTTGTGGATATTTACTGAGTAGTTTACACATATATCCTTACTATTGTGAAAAAGGAAAGCTTTATACTGTGGATACACCCACTGATGGATCAGACTTTTCAAAAGACCCAGTCCAGGAAACTCAGCAGACACGCCCACACCAGCAGAGAGATATAGCAAGGAAGGAGAGCTTCCATAGGCAAGGCCTTTGATTCTGGAGGAAAACACCTTAATAGAGAATGGGGAGAAATGTATTTACTACACATTAGAATGTGAATGTACCAAATGTCACTTTTCAAAGAATACAGGAACTCAAAATCCATTACCTTTCAAAATCTATGCCAGCTTTTTTTTTTGTTCTTCGGCTTCTCAATGGAAAGAAGAATATGTATTAGAGAAAAGTGGACCGAAATTCATGAAAGTAAAGTAGAAAAAAGCAGTATAAAAGAAAATAGCAATTACTCTGTACACAGGCAAATTGGAAACAAAAATGTGAAGTTTGAAGAAATATATTCACAAATATCTAAATATTTGAATACAGATTTGAAAAACCCTACTAATGGAATGAAGCAATTATTAATGAAAAAATAAGAAACAGAGAAACCAAACTCTCACCCATTTCTACCTAGACCTTGTAGGAGGAGAGTTGTGTTTGCCTGTGGTGGCGAAGAATCAGGAGTCTAGTAGCACCTTTTTGGATTAACTGATTTTATTAAAAGGCATAAAGTTTTGGGAGGTGCAGCTCACTTCAGAAATGCATTAAAAGACATAAGCTTCAACGGATGCATCTGATGAAGTGAGGTGCATCTGCCAAAAGCTTTATGCATTTTTTAATAAAACAGGTTAGTTGGAAAAGGTGCTACCAGACGACTCCTGATTTTTTAACCCATCTCTGTCCATTTCTCTGGATGCATCAATAATTTCCATGAAAAATTTGGAAACAATCCTTCATTTTATTTTACATGTTATTACTTGGAAGCTTGAATTTCTCTTCAGGACAGTAAGGTTAGGGACCTGGGTGGCAGGGCCGGAAGGCCCATTCTCTTCCATTTATCCAGACAGTTTCAACCTTTCTGAATCCAGACAGAGGACTTTAGAGGCACTGAAGTGAATTTTCTAGGATCCACACAGACTGTCCAAATTTCAGTCTATAGTCTGATTCTAAAATAGTAAGTATGCTTACCACTGAATTCAAAGGGAATCAAACAGAGGATTATACAGCATCACATATTGCTGCAGAGCTGAAGTGACTAGCAAGATGTAGCCAAACTTTTTTCTTTTACTTGCTTTATTTGTACAAAGCGGGAGGGAGAATCTTGCTGAAAATATAATAATACAATGATGCAGGGCTAAAAAGAGCTCACTAAAGTGAGACCCCTGCATTTGGGAGAAAACGCTCATGGTTCGGACTTCATTCTATTGAGGCTGGCTGTGATAGCTCGATTTGAAAGAATTTTCAGCCTTCTTGATTCTGATGAGTGGGTCAGCCAGGAACAAAGTTTCCTGCAGTGTGCTAAAGGGTCATGAAAATTGGTCATCTGATAGCTTTCCTTTTTTTTTTTAATGAATCCCACAATTATTAGAGGTGAATAAAAGGAATCCTAGCATATCACACAATCAAGTCTTTCTGTTTGAAGAAAACACACACACCAAATGGTACAATTTAGTATTTGGCAGAAATTCCTAATGATAAATTGCTTGTGAGAGCAAGAGCAACTCAAAACTAGGCCATTCTAAACCATACTCTAAGCCAGTGTTTCTCAACCTTGACAACTTTAATATGTGTGGCCTTCAACTCCCAGAATTCTGGGACTTGGAGTCCACACATCTTAAAGTTGTCAAGGTTGAGAAACACTGCTCTAAACAAAGGAAGTGCAGCACTGTACCGGGTACAACATGTGGCCCATCTATAGTTAACCCGGCTTGTTGGGTGACAGAGGTACGTTCATCTGCAAAACATAATGGGAAATTAACGTTTCCTTTCTACTGTGGTGTTTTCTTCCAGGAACAAGGTCATTGAAACAGAACAGGACACAAAGGACACCAATCTAGAATACAGAAATCATCTTGAAAATTTAAATGAGACCACTGCATTTCAATATCAATTTCCTAACTGTGCAGCTTATGCAATCTGGGACTCCTGATGTTTTCCAATAAATGAAAACTATGCTAAAAGCTTTAATGTGAAGAACATCTGGCAATTTAAAGTACCTCTTTTAATACTCATTTTAATAACTCCCAAATGGAGGTAGAACTAGTACAATATACTTTGTTTAAAGTTCATTTCCTGTCCCTAGGATATTTATTGGCCCTTTAATGCTGGCCATTTCCACTTTTCACTTTTCCTGTGAGCCTTCTACTAGTTTTCATTGACTTCATTCCATTCTTGACCTCTTTTCCCCTCAAGAAAATTAAACACAGCCCAAGACATGTTGGACGCCAATTAGTTTTACAGCTCTTTTTACCTCCCTTTCTTCTACATTCTTTAGTTCATTGAGTCAACCATAATGTTACAAGACTTTAGGAAAAAGGACATACAGCCACAGTGCAAAATACAGGTAATTAAAAAGATGTGAATAGCAAACAAAATTCCATCTGAAAGAGACAGAAAAAAAAGCATTGAAAGCATGAGATTGAATGATGCATTACTTCTTTCTATAAAATGTATATAATGGCAGAAACAAAGCTGGGTATAACAGGAAAAAATAACATTAAACCTGCCAATACAAAAATGAGAGGAAAACAAATACTTAAAAATTGAAGGAACAAATGTGTTTGATATTCAATGGAATACTACAAAGTACAAGATCCAATATTTAGTTGTTGATTTTTTTTTTTAAATAGCACTGTGTGTTCTGTAATGTTAGTTCTGCACATATTTTTTATTGCAGGCTTTTTAAACCGTGGGTTCTAATGGGTTACTCTTTAAACTATACACAGATGGGTCTCTGGAAATTATTATAATTCTACTATACAATGTTTTAATTTACTTTGATACAAATTTAGAACAATTTCACAATTACATGGACCAAAAGAAATTAAATCTCCTGGTATTTGAACTTCTTTGAATTTTGCAATATAGTTTCTCCCTATAAATGCATATATTTGGGGATGTATATATATATATATACATATATATGTATATATATGACAATAAATAATACAATGTTTTATAGCAGACAAAGTTGCTTATGGAGAAATTTGCAGGAAAATAAAGAGTCATAGGATTTGTTTACACACTGCACAGGAACAAATGTAAGATTAGAGAAACAAAGTGAAATGGATTTATTCCCTTCTTTCTGTGCTTTCTGTTTTATCCCATGTATTATTATATTCCTTGAACTATACTTCAGAATGCTTTCAAGTATAGAATTTTAGATGTTAAAATACAATCTTTCAAATTGCTTGGCCACCACAATTAAGTTACAACTTCATACATTTGGCCTTGGACAACATGCCTTGGCTACATACTTTAAGTGGATTTACTATGTCCCAGCTTCCACTGAAGTCAGTGGGCTGGCTTCCAAAGAAATGTGCTTTAGAAGTAAATACTGATAGCTTGGTACTCACTGATGACTAGGCAGTCAAATAGTTTCTTTTGGAAGTGAGCCAAGAGCAAAAGTGCTTAAATGTCTTGGCCTCGTTTCTAACCCTAAGTCATCATGAGTTCCATGAATTCTAGACATAGCTTTCATCTCTTTCTTTCCTTCCTTCAGGTCAAGATGCCTCCCCACACATTCAAGCAGAGGAACATTGTAGGAGGAGAGCCACGTTAGTCTGTGGAAGCCAAAAATCAGAAGTTGAATCGGATGAATGAACTTGCCCAAAGGTCCGAATGATTGTCCAAAAGGAAGTGACAAGTATGCAGAATCCCACTGTTTCAAAGAAGTTCTGATTACATTTTACAGGGCTGGGCCCTGAAACAAAAATAGAAAACAACAAGAGATTGCTAATTGGATAAATGAAATAATGAGCATTGCTATCACAACAAAAAATTAAAAATATAAATACTTGGCGCATTAAAGTAGTATTAATTTTTTTTTCATGCATTTCATGCATTTCATTACTGTAATAGTTTGAGGAAGAAGATGATTGGTTGATGAGACTTCGGAGACAATGAGGTCTTATTGAAGAAAAAGGCATCCCCAGTAAAAAATTCATGTGACAAAATTTCAAGGCAAATAGCTAATTATGCACAGAGAAACCAAGATAAACTATCTGAAAAGAACAATTAGGTATTTTACACATAGAATTCATTTGTCTCAGCCTATGCAGGTTCCTTGACCAGAAAAGAAAAGTCCTAATGGATCTATATGCATAGGGCAATCAAATGGTGGTTGTAGTAAGCAGCAGAAAGGGAAGGATTTGAGCCCCAAATTTTGGCTCAGGACATAATTTAAGAAGAAACATTCAGCATGATGGAGTATGTTTTATATGAGAGTGAGATGCTATAGGATAATGATGCAACCATTAAAAGGCAGCTACAGTTCCTATTTAACAGAGCTTTAGAAAAGAGGACCATACCTTTATCTGTTATGGATGCCAATGTACTACAGCCAGGACCCCCCCCCCCAATATCACTAAAACCTTACCATTTTAAAAGATTCCCATTTAAAGAAAAGTATGGGGAAGGGGATGCATCTTCAGTGTCCAATATGAGCCATGGCTCTTGTGGGTGTTGTGTTGCTTTAGATGATTACCCGCATCCATACAGAGAAGATTTGAGATTCCTTTGGAATTTAATGGCAGTCCTTTTTTCTCTTAGAGGACCCAAATTTTATTTTTATATATTTATACTTACACACACACACTAGACAAGCCGTGACCC